GTTTCTTCAGTCTTGTCATGATATTTTTTAAATAGAAGTGAATGGACTTCTATATCACAATATGAAGTGTGAGTGTCATATAGTAGTGCTAGGGAGAATTAGCCATCAGATTAGAATGAGAAAGCATCATATACTGCATCTATTATCACAGGTTAAAAAAAGCATGTAATACTTCAAGGACTTACACATTTTGGAAAGATCAATTCGCAAGCCATTTAGAAGCTGCGTTTTTATTTTGTTCGCAAAAATGTGGTTCTCAAATTTGTACATGTGCTGGCAAATGTGAACTGACTTTTGTGGGTGTTATGTGCACATGTCTGGACCCCCCATCACCAGTTATTTCTATAACATAAAAAAAAAAAAAAAGAAAAAAGAAAAAAAAATTGTCATTATAGTTATGTTGAAGATTGAACTCCAGAGTAATTTATTAATTTTCTCCCTAATCTATCCCCCTTTATTCCTTCTCTTCCGCAGCTACGTCATCACGCTCAGCTACAATGTGTATGCTGGCTATGCCCTGATCACATACTTTGAGTACCCACTGATGGTGACGCAAGACATCGTCATGCTTGCCATCTTCCTGTCGTTGACTGGCCGACTGTCTCCACTGGTGATTCTCCCGGCGGCTGCGGGGGCCTACTTTTCGTACTCCATTGCTACGGGCTTGCTCTCCGAGGCCTTTATCACGACCCTTGTGGTAGGTTCTGCCTTCTTTACTTTTTTCTATCTTTATTGTGTGATGTAGGTTATAAATTTGTTTTATTTTTTATAATTTTTCTTATGTTTTGAATATTAATATTCTTTAGAATAAGCTATATAGTTTTTCTTTTTCATGTTGATGGATAATTTTTACATTTTAACATTTTTAACATATAATTTTCATATTTTATATAGAGGTGATAATTTGTTTGCCATTTAGTTTTTTTTTTTTTTTTCTGTACATAGTTGCCATTACTCTTACCTCATAACTTAATTACAGTGGAATGAAATCCAATTCTTTTTTCATACCCTAGGGACTGTGCACACCCATCTCCGCCAGCAGCAAAGTGGTGGCTCTGCTGGCGATCATAAGCAGCAAGAATTCGGAAACGGTCTCAGTCTCTGCGTGGTCCATCTCCGCCTACACGTGTCTTAGTAAGCATAATGTCTTGGTCTTTCTGGCTCTATGACGAAATTAATTGGATTTTTCTCATCGATAGGAATGTATTGTGTCCTTCTTTTTCTTTTTCTCTTCTTCTCCTCCTCTTCCTCCTTCTCTCTCCTCCTCCCTCCTCCTCCTCTCCTTCTGCCTCCTCCTCCTCCCTCTGCCTCCTCTCCTCCTCCCTCCGCTTCCTCTCCCTCCCTCCTTCCCTCCTCCTCCCTCCGCTCCTCTCCTCTCCCTTCCGCTTCCTCCTCCTCCTCTCCTCTCTCTCTTCCTCCTCCCTCTCTCCTCCTCCTCCTCCTCCTCCTCCTCCTCCTCCTTCCTCTTTCCCCCCCTCTGCCTCTCCTCCTCTCCTCCTCCTCCTCTGGCTCCTCTCTGCCTCCTCTCCTCCTCCCTCCGCCTCCTCTTCCTCTTCCCTCCACCTCCTCCTCTTCCTCCTCCTCCTCCTCCTCCTCCTCCCCACCCCTCCTCTCTCCTCCTCTCCTCCTCTTCCTCCTCCTCCCTCTGCCTCCTCTTCCTCCTCCTCCCTCCTTTCCCCTCCTCATTATCTGCTCCTGGTGTCAGGTTTGCATATTTGTCTTTCAGGTTGTCAGTTTTAGCATTAGTGTTGTGTAACATTTAGTTAGGTACTTTAGTTATGATAGATGAAAGATTACTCATTGGTGATTTCTCTGTACTTTTCAGCCCGAATTTTCACCATCTACGTCGAGTCGGCCGATCCTGTCCTCCTCCTGAACTTCATAACCTCACTGGTTCTGAACTTGCTGATCATCACGGCTGCGATCTATTACAAGCCACGTGCAAAGAAGGATTAAAAGAGCTAAAACAAATACACAACATTGATAGCACACGTGAGATTTTTTTGTGGTGGTTAAGAAACTTTTTGGGATTTATTTCATTTATTTATTTATTTTGTCATGAGAAGGTGCGTTCAAATTGTTACCTAAATTCTATAAAGTTGGTTTTCAATTAAGGGGACTGGAGAGTGTAAGTTGGGTAAATGTATTGATATACTGTTCAATTGTGCCTGTATTGTATAACTAGACGGTCACATTGTCTCTTAACAGGAGGCCTATATGTCTTTGTATCTCAGGACCTGTTCATCAGTTTGGCTATTATATATATTTTTTTTATATAATTGTTATTATTTATGCTTATTATTATTATCATAAGCATAATTTTTTTGGGCCAATCTGTAATGAGAAGAAGTTCTCTTCTGGAGTGACAGAGGTGTCTCTTTAGCAGCTGCAAACACACACTTTTGAGCTAAAGTTTGTGTGATAGATATGTTATACGGAGTAAATGCATGTCCAATTCAAAGAGGTATATGGATGTGTAGGTGCACTTATTTAAAAGGAGAGTGTGAATGAGGTTTTTAGTGCAAGGTATATTCACTTTTAAATTGATATTAATGTTGCACCATTGTTGATAAGGATGGAATTCCTTCTCCCTTTCTGTTCATTGCATTAAATGCTCAGGTACAAAGTCATATAGTTAGTAACTTATGAAAATGCATTATTGCATTTATTCCTTCATTAATAGATTTTAAAATCAAAATAGTTTATTGTTATTTCTCTCAAAAGAACAGTTAGACTACCTTTGTTGTGTATGAGGTATGAATCAGTTTTATATAGTTTTCTGATTATGTTGATTAATTATGTCTAGGACTTGCATCAAAAGCAAACTAGTCAAAATCCATGACTAGTCATCATGTGTGCTCATGAAAATGTGGGACTTTTTTTTTTAGTATATTTTTAATGCATTATTTAGATTGCATTAAGAAACTGCAAGGCAGGCAGGTTAGGAAAGTTCATGGAAGTGCAAGAACTTGAGAATAATTTCTGTTGGTTAATGACCAATGCAACTTTTATGACAATACATTTACGTTTTTCTCTGTTTAGTTGGACCAGACACTTACGTCAGAATGTGCATTTTTACAAGTACAAGTATGTAATGGAAGTACATATCAGAGACAATATTTTATCTTATTTTGTAATTTGTTGTTAAATGTACACAGTGCACCCCTCCCCCTTCTCTCTCCCTCACCCCACTTCTCTTCTGCCCGCTCTCCCTCTCCCTTTCCCCCTCTCCTCTCTCCCCTCTTCCTGCTCTCCCTCTCCCTTTCCCCCTCAATTCTCTCCCCTTCCCCCTCTCCTCTCTTCCTGCTCTCCCTCAACTCTCCCTCTTTCCTCCTCTCTTCTCTTCCCACCCCCTCCACCTTCCTCCTTTCCTCTCTTCTTTTTCCATCCCCCCCCCCATGCTCCCACCCTCCTGTGCCAGAGTAGGTTTTCGGGGGAGAGAGAAAAGGTCATTTGTCTTTGCTAGGTCAGCTGTCCTGTGTCAGTCAGTCAGTGCTATGTTGGAATATTAAATGATAGATCTGGTTTGGATGCTGTTAATGTTATTATTATTATCATTGTTGATATAGTTATTTTGATAGTATTGTTATTATTGGTATTATTTTTTTGTTTATTATTATTATCATTATTGTTGATGTTATTTTTATTATTGCTATTATTATTGTTATTTTTGTTTTTATTATTATTATTATTATTATTATTATTATGTTATTTAATTAATGTTGTTATTGTTACTTTTGTTATCATTATTATTTTTTTATCATTACTATGGCTACTATTATTGTTGATATTATTTATTATTGTTTTTATTTGTTGTTATTATTTTGTTGTTATTATTATTATTATTAATTATTATTATTATTATTGTATTATTATTATTATTGATTATTATTATTATTATTTATTATTTATTATTATTATTATTATTATTATTATTATTGCTATTACTTTTATTATTATTATTGTCATGATTATTATTATTATTATTATTATTATTATCATTATTGTTGTTGATTGTTATTGTTATTACTGCAAACCTTACTCCCACAGTTATTTTTCTTATTTATTTATTTATATTTTGCATCATTAGTCTGATAATTGGTTTATTATAATTTGTTATTTTTGATATTAATATTAAACTATTATTTTGATATTTGACTGGTGAGAATGTCTGATTTCCTTACAATATTGTTTTATTAGACTGATCTGGTTAATTTTTTGTTGAAATTTTGCACAAGTACATTCTCTATTATTGTATTTAGTAAATGCAGTTTGTATATTCACATATTTTTCACATTTATTTTAATGCTATAAAATGAATATGCGGATTGTAATGATCCTGGGACAAAATGTAATAATTTGTTATTCACGAATCCAGTTGGTTAGTGATGATGTTACACGAGAGATTTACTTTGATATGATATTAACTGCCTTGTTTTATCTGCCAATAACCATAAGACAGCTCACTGGAACCAGTTACTAGTCTTTGCACACCATCTGAAATCTCTCTCTCTCTCTCTCTCTCTCTCTCTCTCTCTCTCTCTCTCTCTCTCTCTCTCTTCTCTCTCTCTCTCTCTCTCTCTCTCTCTCTCTCTCTCTCTCTCTCTCTCTCTCTCTCTCTCTCTCTCTCTCTCTCTCTCTCTCTCTCTCTCTCTCTCTCTCTCTCTCTCTCTCTCTCTCTCTCTCTCTCTCTCTCTCTCTCTCTCTCTCTCTCTCTCTCTCTCTCTCTCTCTCTCTCTCTCTCTCTGCTCTCTGCTTGCTTTTATTTTTTATACCCACACCTTTAATCTTCAGTTCATACTACAGTACTGATGATTGCATTTGTAGACGTCATTGGTTATCTACTTCGATATTTTGTTTTAAGGCTTATCCTTTCCTTCGGTGTCATCTGTGATAACGAGGAACCTGACTGTGTTCGGCCTGTGCTTCCCAGACTCCTATCATGCAACAGGATTTTCAGAATAATGTTTCCCTTTGTCGTTTGAGGTTACTGTGCTTGG